CGACCAGTCTGCTGCGCAGATCTTCCTCCACGGCCACCTCGACCGCCTCTGCCTTGGTTTCTTCTACCAGGCATCTTGCTCTGTAGTCCCTCCTACTTTGCAATGTTCAAAAATTACCTTTGTTGATTGACTGTCAGATAATCAACTCCGTAGCTGTAATGAGAGCCTCAACGCTCTAGCTACCTCTGGAGTATACTGAGCTCAAATCTACGTTGGCTATGGATTGCCTACAATAGGAACAGGTGCCAGCGATGCTGGGCTTCAACCTGCGGATGAACAGTCTCACCACTTCCTATTAGATCTTATTCTAAAGAGCCGAGCTTCTTCGAATCCAGCCCAATCTTGTACAAGCTCTCCAGTTGCCAAACGTGTAGTGAGAGGAGTCTTCTCTTGAGCAGCGAGTTGTATCCGGCTCATTGTTTCTCCATAATTGGATCTTTTTTTCGCAGGAGTTTTGGTGACACAAGTACAGCAATCACTGCACTTCTTGCAAATTTGACAACGGGCGACAAGCCTTCGCTTCTTGTTACAGCTGCTATAAACTTCCTTACTAATTTTGTTTTGCTGCTTCCACATTTCTTCTTTTGTTTACCACAAGGGCAGTGTCGCGTGCAATACATTCCAAGCTTGACACAAAACTGTGTTCTTGGGGCATTTTGGGAATCTGCATGTATCAAGATGAAGTGTGCCAAACTCTGGGCTGTTTACAAAGAACTCTTTGGCAAACAGCCCCAAAAACTCAGGATGCGTGACATTGTGCAGGTTCTTTGTATGGATGATCTTGACAATGAAAAGGAGAACCACACCACAAACAATATAGCTTCTCGTCCAACTACTGTCAACTGAGGGCATTGCCAAATTCTAATTTGATACTAAGTGATAATTATTCAAAGTCTACTCTTTTCTTGATGTATAATCTATCCAGCCATGCTTCTCATCAGTCGCCTTTTCAAATCAATCATCAGCTTTGCTCGTAGACATGTGGCTTGTTTTTTCACCTTTTCTTCATCATATTCTCTGTTGCCTGAAAATCTCTCTTTCCATTCATTTAGCAATGGTACTAGGGTCCAATTAGGATTTTCATCAAGCATCGATTGCAACTCCGCTTTGATCTTTGGAGGAACCAATGGTTCAGACTTCTTCTGGAAAGAGATGATCTTGTTGCCGTTTTGTTTTGATTGCTGCACCAAACTGGAAAACATCCAAACAATTTCATGAAGTCCAGGATAACAATAAAAGCCCTGATGCTCTTCCTTCATCAGTGCAAGAGTCTGGGTTGGGCTCTGTTTATCCCCTTTATTAACAATACCACGGTTGAATTGAACAAAGCATATTTTTATGAATTTATCATTCATGTAGTTCCTTCCGTACAGTCCTCCGCTCATGGGTCGTCTTGCCCAACCTTGAGACCGCATCAAAGGCTCTAGTGGACGCCATTGATCAGCAATCTTGTATTCTTTCATCTTGGCATTGAGTGCCGGTGCGATGGAGCATTCAGCCATGTTAATGTAATTTTGATCCAGTCCGATGGCCCAGTCCACCACCCTTCCGCTGTCGTACTCATCCTCTTCAATAATCGTCTTCTTTTTCTTCTTTTTTGTCGCCTTTGGCTTGGTGGGATAAAAAGTGCAAAAAGGCTTGTACCATTTAACTTGTACCAGAGTGAAGAATGTTTTCTTGTTGTAGTGTTCCTTTGGTGCTTCTTCGAGAAGGCGGTCGGCACTTGCCTTGACCTGGTAACTATCTGCTTCTTCATCCACACTTGCCTCGCCATCACTGTTGCCATCCTCAATGTCACTATCCAATTCTGTGTCATCTTGCTGGCCTTCTTTGACGTATGCTACAGTGTGCTCAATCTCCCAATAGTACGATTCAAAGCAGTCCGACTCGCTCATGTCATCATTCATGTGATTCTCTTCCGCTTCCAATAATTTGCCATTATGTTGCACATCCTAGTTGTTGATGGTCTTATGCCCGCTTGTAACTTCGAACATGGCTTGCTTCATGACTTCTTTTCCAACTTTCGCCAACTGAATATGAGCATTCAATCGAGCAATTACTGATCTCCCAACTTTGCAAGCATCAATATAATCCTTGGCTCTCTGAATTTTATTCAAGGCTATAATGGACATTTCCATTTTATCGTACCAATCTGGCTCTTGGGAAGGATCAACAACAGGGGTGAAAGAGCCTTTGCCATTCTTCCAGCCTGAGAAATCAGCTCTAAAAACCATGCCTTCGGATATGCCGGAGTAATTGATGACTTGTACTAAGGGTTGCACTGAGCTCCAGGTGGATTCATTGTTCAAATCAAGCCTGGACCAATTGGCAAGCCCATCAAGATCCGAAAAAAAACGGATTTCATTAGCTCTAGCAAAGTATTCTTTTGCAGCTTCACCTGCACCAGAACATAATTGCAAAATGTTGTCAAGATGTTGGAAGTTGAGTTCGACCTGCTGGCTTTATGAGGAAACAGATGCTATAAAAACAGACGAAAAACTCATGCCTCACCAGAGTATTTGATCCTGCCATTGGTACATAATGCGTTGGCGAGTTCTGTAGGCGTACAAGCTTTGTTCTTTGTGAGCGTATCGTCCTTTTGGGTGCAAATATAGTGCCGATCCACATGAGTCCCAGCAACCGCTGCATGAGAATCGCACAAACCCTTTCAATCCTGTGTCTCAGGGTGAATGTACTTGATGATCTTTGGGAAAGCAGATGGGGAAGATCAGTTCCTTACTGTGATAACAATTGGCATTGTCACTAGCCAATATAATTCTCTCGACAAAGTGGAACTGCACTGTGACAATTTTCATCATTGCTTCTATCATCAACAACACACAGAGTCCGTCTTGTTTATTCCCGGTATCAAGAATTTGATCAAGTGGGAACATCATGGGAACTGCTTGGGCTGTGTTGCCATTGGCTTGACACGGCGCTTCAAATTCATAATACTCTATGACACCAATATGCCAACTGTTACCTTGCTGTCCAAAGTCATTCATTTGGCTTGAACGCAACATATTTTTACAAGAAGTTTTGCTTGAAGTCCATCGTAATTTTTACTGTTGTGCCGCGCTGTTTCCTCCTCAACACCTCCTCTTTGAGTTCAAGATCTACTTGCTGAATTGCTTTTTGTTGACTTTTCACTTGTATACGATGAGCTTGGTAGCGATGGAAGCAATCAAGCGAGTCTTCAATGTAGTCCATTGCATTTTCAACGCTGGCACTGTTTGCTGAGCTTTGATTTTCCTTCACTTCACCGGGAAGTACAACACGTATGAAGTACTCAACAAACTTGCACACGGGGCAATGTTTGATGCCTTGGATTTGAACACAGTTTGATGACTTATTGCCTTCATAACTTTGTTGTTCCAATCTTAGGCCATAGTCGATGCTGTGGGAACAAATCTGACGACACTGTGAAAAGGGATATAGATGCAGCATCTTGCACATTTCCTTTTGCTTTACTTACTACTAATCCTTCTTCAAGGTGCTCATCATATTGGTACTTCAGAAAGTTTTGAAGGACTAACACGTATCGCTGCATTGCCTTCTGCTGAGTTGGGGCGAGGACTTGCTCAATAATTGTTGTGTTGTAAGCCCAGTCACTTGAACATTCACCAAGATATCCTGGACATAGTCAATACAAGTGATACTTTTCTCAGCCTTTGATGTCAAATGCTTGACGAGGAGGTAGTAGGTTGTGCGTTGAGGTGGTTGACGCTCCTTGTTGAACTCAGTTCCCTTGAGCTCTGCCTCCTTTCTTGTGTAATCCATAAACATCACTTCCAATGGGTGTGTTCTTGTGAGTCTTGGGAATGTGATCGTTTCAGTCTTTCTGTTTTGTCTTAGTTCCTTGGTGCCCCAAGAAAGAGCTTGAGAATGTGCTTTGCCATCCGTGTGAGAGTTTCCAGGTCAATGCGCGCAATGGAACGGCTTTTGTTTTTCGGATCTTTGCTGCTTTTGATGGCTCTAGTCATGTCTTCGCATCCACGTTTTTGAGCAACGCGGCAGAACCTTGGAGGGTCTAGATCACTAAAAACGTTGGCAAGCTCGCCCTCGGTTGCATTGTCTACAATGATTGCTCTCGCAATCCGATAGGCCATGGTATGCTGCAGCATCTTTTTGACAAGTATAAAGAGCATCTTGGCAAATCTCTCCAAGATTGCGACTTTCTTCTTCTGATCTGCCGGCACGCCTCGCGACTTGCTTGGTTTCATGTAGTGCTGGTCTTGTAGCCATGCATATTCTTCATAGATGCAATCCATGACACGCACAAGTTCATTCCACCCACAATCCGAATGGTTCATCATCTCTATCTGTTCGAGTGCGTTGCTTTCTTGACGAATTGTGGCACTGGGTATATGACGATAAGTGGACTGATCAAGAACCGCAGCCTCAAAGAGCCGAGCTTCTTCGAATCCAGTCCAATCTTGTACAAGCTCTCCAGTTGCCAAACGTGTAGTGAGAGGAGTCTTCTCTTGAGCAGCGAGTTGTATCCGGCTCATTGTTTCTCCATAATTGGATCTTTTTTTTGCAGGAGTTTTGGTGACACAAGTACAGCAATCACTGCACTTCTTGCAAATTTGACAACGGGCAACAAGCCTTCGCTTCTTGTTACAGCTGCTATAAACTTCCTTACTAATTTTGTTTTGCTGCTTTATGTTTCCACATTTCTTCTTTTGTTTACCACAAGGACAGTGTCGCGCGCAATACATTCCAAGCTTGACACAAAACTGTGTTCTTGGGGCATTTTGGGAATCTGCATGTATCACTACACGGCTGTCTCTGAACAGCGACATCCCAATTGTCACTTGATGCTGACATCTTGCCAAGGATTTGATTTTGGACAGTTCAAAGTGACAATCCAGAGGGCATGGACCATGGTCAGAAGGATTCCCTCCAACGAGCCCGTTGTGTTTTTGTCTGTTACTTCGGTTTTCATGTGAGCGTTGAGTGTTGTGAATAAAGAGAATCAAAGATTTGGATATTATACTGCGGTATATATGTGTCACACATGCATTTTTCCATCCGACACAAGAGCGGCCGGAGAGACCCAAAAATTATACACCGCCGCGCATTTATTTGTCGCATCAACAATAAATTAGCATCATCGTGTCTTTGACTATAGTACCCGGTATATGCACACGGCACAACGACACATCATAATTTCAGGTTAGCAATGACACATATGCGAAGATCAGGTAACACTAAAGGAGCAAGCTGAATGAGACAAAGAACGGCATTAGGAGCCTATAGTGTTCCTTGACACTGCTGTGATGCTTCTGTTTGCACCCTGTGGATCTAACTATTTCCTTTGGCTATCCCAAGTGTTTTCAATATCGGATTTCTATCTATGCCTTTGTATCATTGGTATTTGCTGACTCCACTACGTTGGATGTGGTGATTCTGCTGGGTGCAAGTGCTGATTTTACGTTGATATATCTGTTGGTGATGCTGTTAATTTTGGACAATTGCGACACTCCCAGGAGACCTGAGACCTTGGTCGAACTCATTATTCGTGTTATGAAGAGGCTCGGTACCATGTCTGGAGTTTGTATTGGCTGTGTACCAGCCGATTGAACCATGTGGATTTGCGACATCAGACGCAATATAAGAGCAGTAACAATCAACCTCCCCCAAAATTTTATTGGATGTTATGGGGATCGAATGTGCACCGTGTGGCCTAGTACGACTCATGAACAATCTGTGTCTCGATTTTTAGCTTCATTGAAGCCTTCCTTGGTGAATTGCTAGCACATTTTGGATATCGGAAATTTTCGATTTCTGTCCAATGGAGCTGATGTCGTTTTTGGGCTACAGTTGCTCACTCCGTCAGGGGCACTGCTGCTCGCAGTGAGTGCGCTTGGAGTAGGTCTCGGTGTCGTCGGACCTTTCTTTCTATTGTCCGGTTTATGTTTGATCAGCGCTTTAGCGACCTGATCAATCGTAGTCGGATATTCGTTTCTTTGCTCGTATTCCTTGAATTCCATGGCGTAGGTCTGGTTTGCCTTGTCCATCATGCTTTGGAAGCAAGACCTATCGCAGTTGTAGAAAAAGGCACTTGCTTTGAATATGCCCAGAACTTCTTTCTTGAACTTGGCTTGGAGCGCCTTGATATCGTCCGGATCGGCCTCCGGATTGTCCAGATCCAGGTATCCCATTGTTTTGGTCGCATAGACATGCAACACATCTGTGCCAAGGATTTCGAATACTTGGTCAGCTTGAGCTTCGAACCGCCTTCTGTAATCGTTCACAGACTCATTTTGCTTCTGAGTGCAGTTTGTGAATCTCTTGAGAGATTCCATGAGTCCAAAGTGTTGCCACTCGGTCTTGTCTGTGATGGTCATGAACGTCTTGATACGCTTCAGAAGCATCACATGGTCTTCCTTGAGGTCCAACCAATCAGTTTCATTGCTTAACTTATCTCTCATCGCTTGAGTGATGAAATGCTTGGTGATGATCGCAGCCACGGTATATTGGTTCGTGGTGTAGATCACTTCTCTTTTGTCAATCTTGACATTTAGGTTTTCCCAGTTCCTATCAAGTCGAGCCTGTCTCGAACTTTTGAAGAACTCGGAGTCGTTCTTTCCCGGCTTGTAGACCGTTTGAGTGCCTCTTAAAGCCTCAAAGTCCACATGGGCCATATTTCTCACACTCCAGATCATATCTTGAGCGTAGTCCAAGCTCTTGAGCGCGATGGCCTCAAGCAAGTATATTGTCACCTGCTCGTGAGTGAAGTCAGGATTGTGAGGATGGTATTGCTTTGGTCTGTCGGCCTTCTTGCCGTGAGACCCTCGACCAGTCTGCTGCGCAGATCTTCCTCCACGGCCACCTCGACCGCCTCTGCCTTGGTTTCTTCTACCAGGCATCTTGCTCTGTAGTCCCTCCTACTTTGCAATGTTCAAAAATTACCTTTGTTGATTGACTGTCAGATAATCAACTCCGTAGCTGTAATGAGAGCCTCAACGCTCTAGCTACCTCTGGAGTATACTGAGCTCAAATCTACGTTGGCTATGGATTGCCTACAATAGGAACAGGTGCCAGCGATGCTGGGCTTCAACCTGCGGATGAACAGTCTCACCACTTCCTATTAGATCTTATTCTAAAGAGCCGAGCTTCTTCGAATCCAGCCCAATCTTGTACAAGCTCTCCAGTTGCCAAACGTGTAGTGAGAGGAGTCTTCTCTTGAGCAGCGAGTTGTATCCGGCTCATTGTTTCTCCATAATTGGATCTTTTTTTCGCAGGAGTTTTGGTGACACAAGTACAGCAATCACTGCACTTCTTGCAAATTTGACAACGGGCGACAAGCCTTCGCTTCTTGTTACAGCTGCTATAAACTTCCTTACTAATTTTGTTTTGCTGCTTCCACATTTCTTCTTTTGTTTACCACAAGGGCAGTGTCGCGTGCAATACATTCCAAGCTTGACACAAAACTGTGTTCTTGGGGCATTTTGGGAATCTGCATGTATCAAGATGAAGTGTGCCAAACTCTGGGCTGTTTACAAAGAACTCTTTGGCAAACAGCCCCAAAAACTCAGGATGCGTGACATTGTGCAGGTTCTTTGTATGGATGATCTTGACAATGAAAAGGAGAACCACACCACAAACAATATAGCTTCTCGTCCAACTACTGTCAACTGAGGGCATTGCCAAATTCTAATTTGATACTAAGTGATAATTATTCAAAGTCTACTCTTTTCTTGATGTATAATCTATCCAGCCATGCTTCTCATCAGTCGCCTTTTCAAATCAATCATCAGCTTTGCTCGTAGACATGTGGCTTGTTTTTTCACCTTTTCTTCATCATATTCTCTGTTGCCTGAAAATCTCTCTTTCCATTCATTTAGCAATGGTACTAGGGTCCAATTAGGATTTTCATCAAGCATCGATTGCAACTCCGCTTTGATCTTTGGAGGAACCAATGGTTCAGACTTCTTCTGGAAAGAGATGATCTTGTTGCCGTTTTGTTTTGATTGCTGCACCAAACTGGAAAACATCCAAACAATTTCATGAAGTCCAGGATAACAATAAAAGCCCTGATGCTCTTCCTTCATCAGTGCAAGAGTCTGGGTTGGGCTCTGTTTATCCCCTTTATTAACAATACCACGGTTGAATTGAACAAAGCATATTTTTATGAATTTATCATTCATGTAGTTCCTTCCGTACAGTCCTCCGCTCATGGGTCGTCTTGCCCAACCTTGAGACCGCATCAAAGGCTCTAGTGGACGCCATTGATCAGCAATCTTGTATTCTTTCATCTTGGCATTGAGTGCCGGTGCGATGGAGCATTCAGCCATGTTAATGTAATTTTGATCCAGTCCGATGGCCCAGTCCACCACCCTTCCGCTGTCGTACTCATCCTCTTCAATAATCGTCTTCTTTTTCTTCTTTTTTGTCGCCTTTGGCTTGGTGGGATAAAAAGTGCAAAAAGGCTTGTACCATTTAACTTGTACCAGAGTGAAGAATGTTTTCTTGTTGTAGTGTTCCTTTGGTGCTTCTTCGAGAAGGCGGTCGGCACTTGCCTTGACCTGGTAACTATCTGCTTCTTCATCCACACTTGCCTCGCCATCACTGTTGCCATCCTCAATGTCACTATCCAATTCTGTGTCATCTTGCTGGCCTTCTTTGACGTATGCTACAGTGATGACGTTTTTGGGCTACAGTGACTTTCTAGAGCATAGTAGAGAAGTGCTCACCAGATAGGATGAAACCTAAGGACCTAAACTAAAACATTTGTATGGGAATATTTTTGATTTTAGGCCTGGACTCAAAGCTGTAGCATGTACAGCCTTGATTACTTGAGAATGCAGGCACAAGGTTGTCGTGCTTCAAGTACTGAAATAGTTGTAAATGTCCGAAAGATGTGTGATAAAACAGTATTCTGAAAATTATAGTGATTTTGTGTTGTGAAGGATGCAAACAGGATGAAACTCGGACCATCTCAACGCATGAAATGGCGATGCTTAGTCTTAACAACATTGAGAATGTGGCGAAGCTTAGCCAGGGAAGATGGTAGCCAAGATTGGTAATCTTGATACCTGTATAAGATACTTTGGATACGTTAACCGTTGGGGTGCAGACGTTCAACAACGGCTATCATCTGATGGACAAACAGACAACTTTCGACTTTCCCTCTCATCCAGAATTCAATACAAAAAGTCATCACTGAAATTTGCGAAACAAATAGATCTGAAAGATGTTGCATCTCACTGGTGAGCAGGCGAGTTCAACAACCGGAGTTATCTACGTCTCTCTGCTCGATGCAAATGTACAAGGGTTAGGGTGGTTGTGCAAAGATGTTACCACCCTTGCACTTGAAAGCGATTGCTCTCGAAAGGTTCACAAGACTGTGCCTTTGTGAGGTAATCAGCATCTTGGAGCGATGTGTCCAGCTCGTGGATGGCAACAGTTTCTGGGCCAACACCGTCTTTGGTGACGTGTTGCCAGAACCAGTGCCACTTGTTGAGATACCAGCGGGTGCGAGATGTGATTCTTTTTTTGGTAACTAGAAAATATGCTCCTTGGTTGTTTTCAAATGCTGAGGCCCAAATGGTGGCGCGGATGCCGTTGTCAAGTTCAACGTGGTTGGTGGCTTCAATGAGAAGATGCTTCAATGGAATTAAGGTCTTTAGAGCAGAAGAGAGAGCATTGTATTCGGCCTCAAGCGTGGAGCAAGTGATGGATGTTTGTAGCTGGGAGCGCCAAATCAGTGGGCAATTGCTCAACTTTACAATAAACCCGGTGCGTGATCGAACGGAGTTTGGATTGGTGTGAGGCTCTGTATTATAGAGTCCACAGAAGTCGGCATCGACAAACAAATCAAGGTTCAGTTTTCCGGTAGGTTTGATGATCATGCCTTTTGTGCAAGTGCGTTTCAGGTAACAAAGAATTGTTTTCACAGCGGTTGCATGAGATTGCTTTGGCTCAGAGGAGAATCGTGCCACTTGGCTGACAGCAAAGGTAATGTCTGGTCGTGTGTTTGTTGAGAGGTACATTAACATTCCAACGATTGATCAAAAGTTCCATTCTTCGTTCATAGGTTCACCATCAGGATCTTTGCCAAGGGGACCAGTAGCGGGGATTCAATTGGGATTGTAGTCGGTCATTCCGGCTGCTTCCAAAACTTTGTCAATCAAACCAGTCTGGGTAAGTTCGACTGAACCATCTTTCCGTTTGTCAAATTTTATGCCAAGAAACTCATTGAAATCGCCTTCATTCTTTAGTTCAAATTGGAGTTCTCTGAGTTCCTCAATGAGCTTGTCAATGTCTGCTGGATCTTTGGCACCGATTCCAGCATCATCGACATACAGAACCACCATCATGCCTTTCTTGTATAGAAGACATGGATCAAAATCGGATTGTTTGAATCCACACTTGGTGAATCCTTCCACGGCAGTCTTATTCCATAGCGCGGGAGCAGCTTTGGTCCCATATAGTGACTTGTTGAGTTGGAGGCATGTTCCTTTGCCCTTTGGAGAGACGAATCCTCAAGGTAAGTGTACCCATTTTGGTTTGTCCAGTTTGGATTGCACAAATGCATTGCTGAAGTCAACGGGGACGGTGGCCCATCCAAGGATCAAGCAAAGGACAAGAAACAGACGGACAGTACTCCATGCAACGGTAGGTGCAAACGTGTTTTTGCCAACATCCATTTCTTCCAGGTCTCCTCTCACACAGTATCTTGCCTTGAATTTGGTCATTTCTCCGCTTGGATTTCTCTTGACACGAAAGACCCAAGTTCCAGGAATGATCTTGGTCTTTGCTTTCAACATTGGGACTTCAATCCAAGTGAGCTGTCCTTCAAGTTCTTCAATTTCTTTCTTTGCGGCTGCAGTCCATTTTTCGCTGTTGGGACCGTTGACCGCTTCGTTGTAAGTGAAAACGTCTGGGTCCTTGGTGGCTCTTGCCTTGTTCGAGCTTGGAACGAAGCTGCAGTTGTGAGAGTGTTCCACTTCAATGTTCAAAGAGTTGAAGTAAGCCGAAAAGTAAGTGTAGAAGTTGTTGGTTTCTGGACTTTGCGATTTTATAGGTGCGTTGTATCCTGCGGGTCCATGTCCATCGTATCCAAAGCGTTTTGGAAGTTGAGCTTTGTTGGATCGGCGAGATGTGCGTGTGGCTGATGGCAGGGGTGCAGGTTTGGAAGTTGGTGTGGGTTGCGGTTTGCGAGCCGGTGGAGGCGTTGGCTGCGGCGGAGATGAAGGCTTTGGCGGTAGGAGTAGGGGTCACATTCTCCCTCTGAGAAGGAGGCGGCTGAACGGGGGGAACAGCTGGCGGATTCTCGATGACTGTCTCTCCCTCTGGATTGGAGGTATGGTGGCTTTAGAGGAATCGGCTTGGGGCTTGGTTGGTGGCGGAACAACGTCCAATGGAGTGGGCGGGTTGTGAACTTCTGTTTGTTCTCGGACTCTTGCAGTTAAAGGTGGAGGAGGATTGTCGGTGGGATCAGGTGGATGCAATGGGTCCTCGGGATCATCCAGAACATTTTGGTAGACGGAGTCTCCAAAGAGTTGGGACCAGGCTTCCGAACCAGAATCAGGTAGGTCGTCAACCTTTGTTGCCACGGTCAAGAAGGTAGGATCGAATACAATATGAAATTGCGTGGTGATGGCTCCTGTGTCGGGATTCAAACAAAGTGGAACTGATGATGCATGTTTCTTGCTCATTCCAACGTAAAGGCGGGTGGATTGAGGCTTCCACCGAGGAAGTTTCTTTCCATCTTGCATCTATTTGTCCAAGACATACACTGGGCATCCCCAAACTTGAACATCGGCAAGTTGTGATTGTTTCCAACGGGTTTTGGTAAGCAGATCGTGTGGTGAGAGACCAGATGATTGGTTGGGCATGTGGTTATAGAGGAAGACGGCATGATCCACTGTGAGGGGCCAGAGTGTGGTGGTTGCAACATCAGGCCTATGGATGGCTTGATGCATCATCATTGTTCGAGCGATGGACATGATGGTTTGGATTGATCGTTCGGCAATTCCATTGTGATGATGAGCTCCGACGCCAGCAAATGAGTGAATTTGTGAGAACTTGAGTAAGTGATCATTGTATTCTTGCGATGTGAAGGGCCTTCCATTGTCACTTATATATTCGAGTACAACTACTCCAAAATCTCGAAGTTGTTCTTCCACAGATATCTTTGCACTCAGTGTCTCTTGGGTGTTCAGATGAACTTGGTGCTTGACGAAGACGTAACCTGTTGCGTGGTCAACGAAGATGCATCCTCCGGTGTACTGTGTCTTGGGATCTTCTTTGCCAAAGGTATGAAGCAATTGTCCTGACACCTTTTGTCCTGGGAACAGGTTTTCTTTCTTCAAAACTCCCTCTCGATCACAAACGACCCGAGAAGTCTTTCCGGGAGAAGGTCGACGATGTTTGAAGTTGAGATGGCCAAGCCAATGGTGCCATCTTAGGAGTTCTTTCTTTGCAGGACTGAGGTTGTGGTTTGACTCCAAGGTGGACGTGATGATGCTGGCGAATGCATCAAATCGGTTAGGAGCGGTTCCATGGGAGTAGGCAAGCGATGTTGGCAAGTTTGTTGAAGGGTGGTGGTCAACATGTACTGGATTTGTTTTGTGTGATCCTGACAAGTGTAGATGAGGACTCATCGGTGTATGTCTGGAGCAAACTTGAAGTACTGAGCAATCGAGCTGTGGCAGAAGGTACGTATAGGGCAGGCACCTTGATTGTTTGTAACATGCCAATTGTATCAACCACTGACCATGCAACATGTCCAATCCCTTTGATTTCCAGGCCGCTAGCGATTCCACAAAGCTTGAGTCCAAGAGGTGCTGGCTCAAGCTTTCCCACAAAATCGTCCTTGTAAGGTGAGATCAAGGTTGTTGCACCGGAATCCCAGATTATCCGGTACCTTGTCGTCTTTTCATCATCTGACATATCTGTTCTCAATTCATCTGGGTTCATCGCAGCACGAAAGCAGTTGATGACCTTGCTGAATTGTTGTGGAATATCGGCATTCTTAAAGAAAGCTTTGGCTGCGGGAGAAGATAGAACGGCAACGCAAACCATCGGGAGTCCAACACCAACGGTAGGTCTGTAGATTTGTGGCATGTTTGGTCGGCGGCAATGTGTTGTCCTTTGTCTGCGCATCCGATCCGTTCTTGGAAATGTATTGAAATGGCGGAAGATGTCGTCACTTGGATTCAAGGAAGGGTTATGGCGATTGGAACGAGGTCTGGAGGAGTCGTGGCAACAGGAGCGAGGTCTGGGAGGATGGAAACGGAAGGCATCATTTTCACCTCGCTGGCGGGGACCTTGGTAGAAGGTCCAGTTTGGATCGCCAGGACGCTGATGGTCACCACGGGGTGTTTCGCAGGAAGTGGTAGCATGAGGGGTACTAGGTTCATTGTCGTTCATGTTTCTCCAACCGTCGTTTGTTCTCTGCCAATTGCTTTGATCATTGTGATTTCTCTGATGTCTTCTGTTGCATCTCCAATTATCTCCCTCTCGACGGGAACGACGAAACATGAGAGACTCTGAAAAATGAATGATATGTTGGACCAAGTCAAAGATATCTCTAGATCGTGGGTCGAGGCGACAGAGGGTGGCAAGACGATAGTGACGGGTGTGACGGCGATGACTGAATGAAGTGGGATGGCGCTGACAACAACAATGTTGAATGTAACGTTTGTACTGGGCTTTGGTCATCCGGAACGGGCGAAATTCTTGAGGCGGGGAGCCAATGAGTCGATGTTGCACTTTGGTAGGAAGGGACACGGGGATCAGAAGGGTGAACCATAGGAGCGGAGCAAGGCGTTATTGCACTGTGCCAACATATCCCCATTGTTGGGTGAAGGCATCTGAACTATGTCTGTAAGACAATCAGTCCTGACTCCTGGATAAGGTTTTGGATCATCAGTCTTCCGACAAAAAAATACGAAATTGATCTGTTGAGCGGCGGACGGACGTTAAATATAGTAATGTAGATCAAATCGTATTCTTAAAAAGAGTGTTGACATCGTCGTTTCATTGACAGGTGTTGGTGGAATGGGATCTTGATAGGTAAAAGAACAGTCGAACATGTTGGACAGTTAAGTTGGACATTGGTGATATCGAACACGGACAGAAGTACGGTTCGAGTACATACAAAGTATTGAAGGTAGATCTACTCTGTGACTAGTTCGTGAAGAACATGTGCGTATGTGCTTTATACGCCGCGACAGCTGGTGAGAGCTGACGCAGGCGGCTTCCGGAAGAGATTTTTTGTACCTGCTTGTGGAGATCATTGTTGATCAACTTCTGGCAAGAATAGCATTAGAATAAGATCTAATAGGAAGTGGTGAGACTGTTCATCCGCAGGTTGAAGCCCAGCACCACTGGCACCTGTTCCTATTGTAGGCAATCCATAGCCGACGTAGATTCGAGCTCAGTATACTCCAGAGGTAGCTAGAGGGTTGAGGCTCTCATTACAGCTACGGAGTTGATTTTCTGACAGTCGATCAACAAAGGTAATTTCTGAACATTGCAAAGTAGGAGGGACTACAGAGCAAGATGCCTGGTAGAAGAAACCAAGGCAGAGGCGGTCGAGGTGGCCGTGGAGGAAGATCTGCGCAGCAGACTGGTCGAGGGTCTCACGGCAAGAAGGCCGACAGACCGAAGCAATACCATCCTCACAATCCTGACTTCACTCACGAGCAGGTGACAATATATTTGCTTGAGGCCATCGCGCTCAAGAGCTTGGACTATGCTCAAGATATGATCTGAAGTGTGAGAAATATGGCCCATGTGGACTTTGAGGCTTTAAGAGGCACTCAAACGGTCTACAAGCCGGGAAAGAACAACTCCGAGTTCTTCAAAAGTTCGAGACAGGCTCAACTTGATAGGAACTGGGAAAACCTAAATGTCAAGATTGACAAAAGAGAAGTGATCTACACCACGAATCAATATACCGTGGCTGCGATCATCACCAAACATTTTATCACTCAAGCGATGAGAGATAAGTTAAGCAATGAAACTGATTGGTTGGACCTCAAGGAAGACCATGTGATGCTTCTGAAGCATATCAAGACGTTCATGACCATCACAGACGAGACCGAGTGGCAACACTTTGGACTCATGGAATCTCTCAAGAGATTCACAAACTGCACTCAAAAGCAAAATGAGTCTGTGAACGATTACAGAAGGCGGTTCGAAGCTCAAGCTGACCAAGTATTCGAAATCCTTGGTACAGATGTGTTGCATGTCTATGCGACCAAAACAATGGGATACCTCGATCTGGATGATCCGGAGGCCGATCCGGACGATATCAAGGCGCTCCAAGACAAGTTCAAGAAACAAATTCTGGGCACATTCAAAGCAAGTGCATTTTTCTACAACTGCGATAGGTCTCGCTTCCAAAGCATGTTGGACAAGGCGAACCAGACCTACGCCATGGAATTCAAGGAATACGAGCAAAGAAACGAATATCCGACTACGATTGATCAGGTCGCTAAAGCGCTGATCAAACATAAGCCGGACAATAGAAAGAAAGGTCCGACGACACCGAGACCTACTCCAAGCGCACCCACTGCGAGCAGCAGTGCCCCGGACGGAGTGAGCAACGCACAGGCGGCTGCTCGAACGACATCTTCACGACCGGCTTTTAGTTGCTGGTGTTGCGGAGATACTGGCCATGGAGTCACTTGTTGCCCTGAACGTTCCACAAGCCCACAAGCGGAATGGAGGGACCCAGGACGATACAGCGACGCATCCACTACTACTACTACTACAAGACGAGCGGGGAGAGCCAATCTCCAAGTCCCTTCTACTGCATCTGCAGCGCAGTCGGATGCCGCGTCTAGCGTCACTGGAACGCAATCAACTGGTCAACAACATCGAAGCAATATGCAACGAGCTGTTGTTGACAGGAGTGGACATAGCACTTCTGGTACTACGGATGTACCCGGTTCTTATGTGGTACGAGGCAGGTCTATCGCTGATGGACAATCTAATGGTAGGATTACAGGATGGAACCTTGCACAAGTACGTGTAAGACCGATTCTGAAGAAGAAAGCAGTCTCCACTGAAGACAGGGGAGAGTTGCTGATGCAGAAATGGCAAGCACAACTAGATGCTGCCAGTACTTTCAAGGACGATGACAGCATGGTCAGCGATGGAAGCTTGAACATGCAGATTTACAAGTCGACCTCGAAGATGGATTCATTGAAGCACTGTTCTCAATGGACCAAAGACAACAAGAAACCTTTCAAATCTAATGGAAGTAAGCACTGGGATATCGATCTTGGTGTACATCTTGATTCTGGATCTACGTTCAGCCTACGAATGAACGAAGATTACGCCAAACCGGGCACTGTGTCTGACCTGGATTACATGTTCAACTATGGTACGAACACTGGCCAACGTGACCTGCATCAACAGGTTGAATCAAGTATTATCGAAGGACGCACTTGCTTGCTAGATACTGAAGCGCAATGTAACCTCGATAATTTATCAGAGCTTGTGAAGCTTGGATCTCGTGTCGTTATGGACACTGACATTGAAAACTCCTTCATCGTTACGAAGGGGGAACAGAGAATGAGGTATGTGCATCAAAACGGATTGTATACTTTTGTGCCCGATGGTAGGGCAGAGAGTGATGAAGGGTCCGAATACTCTGAATGTGAATACAGAGAATGCGGAAATGGTGACTGTGACGCGATTGGTGTCGCACACACCGAATGCCATAAATGCGGTGTTATTTTCTGTGGTAGAATTTTAAAAATTAGCTATTCCGATTCCCATTATTGTGGCATACAGACGGTACGGGAGAATATCGAAGGGTTCACTGATAAACAAGTTGAGCGGGCTAATCGCACACGATCAGTGTATCATATGGCTGGTGCACCAGGAGTTCAAGCGTTTTGTATTGCAGTAAGATCTGGTCTGTTCAAGAACTGCAACGTGAATGAAGAAGATGCAATCACTGCCGAAAAAATATATGGACCTGGTTCTTCGGTCCTAAAAGGAAAGACGAAGCGTCCCACACCTGAAGGAGTGCGGGATGACTGGATAGAAATACCGAAGGAGTTATTAATGCACAATCTGAATGTTGTGCTGCACATTGATCTTGTTTTTGTTAACAATTCATTCGGACTCACGACCATTGATGGGAGTGTGAGATACCGGTGCTATATACCCTTGGCTTCACGATCCAAAACGGCATTGTATGACGCAATTGATAAATGCTTTCGAATATATAATGCACGTGATTTCACAGTGGAAAAGATTTACTGCGATGGGGAGTTCCGTCCGGTATTTGAACCCGTGAAAGACGAACTTGAAGTTCATATGAATTACGCCAGCAGAGGCGAACATGATCCGAAAGCAGAACGAAATAATCAGCATTTAAAGGCACTGTTTTGGGTTCACTTTCACCGAATGCCATTCAAGGTGATTCCAAAGAAGTTGACTGTGGCACTTATGGCACGAGTTGCTAAAATATCCAACTACTATCCGGCGAAAGGTGGGTTGTCTGCATACTACAGCCCGCATATGATCATGCATCAACGAATGGTTGATGCCTCCAACAAATTTGTCGCTGAGATTGGTGCCTATGTCCACGGATATGGTCATGACACCAAGAATAATATGGCTGCTCGAACGATCGAAGGTGTTTACATGGGACCCACCGGCGATATTCAAGAAGGGCACCGTATCTATGATCTGAACACAAAGTGCAAAGCACGACGTGCAAAAATCAAGGTTCTTCCAATGACTGACCAAGTCATCAAGATTCTCGAAGAAGACACAAGATTGGAAGGAGTGACGGAATTGCGCACCTATTCCAAGCATAATGGCGAGCTAATCCTCAATGGTGATTTGCTCGACGGAGTGGACCCAGATGAACTGTGGGATGAAAACTACGTACCAGTAAACGAAATCAAAAGACTGAGTGATGTAACCCTCCTAAATGAAAATATTCGAGATGACGAACTTGAAGAATTACTAATGGATGCTGAAGCAGACATCATGGAAGTGAGGTTCGACAGGGACAGAAACCCAAGATACGATAGCGAAGCAAATCAATATGAAGATGAGCTAGAGGACGAAATGTTTGACAGAATGTTCAAGAAGATTAAGGCTAAACAAGATGCTGACCATGCAACATGTCCAATCCCTTTGATTTCCAGGCCGCTAGCGATTCCACAAAGCTTGAGTCCAAGAGGTGCTGGCTCAAGCTTTCCCACAAAATCGTCCTTGTAAGGTGAGATCAAGGTTGTTGCACCGGAATCCCAGATTATCCGGTACCTTGTCGTCTTTTCATCATCTGACATATCTGTTCTCAATTCATCTGGGTTCATCGCAGCACGAAAGCAGTTGATGACCTTGCTGAATTGTTGTGGAATATCGGCATTCTTAAAGAAAGCTTTGGCTGCGGGAGAAGATAGAACGGCAACGCAAACCATCGGGAGTCCAACACCAACGGTAGGTCTGTAGATTTGTGGCATGTTTGGTCGGCGGCAATGTGTTGTCCTTTGTCTGCGCATCCGATCCGTTCTTGGAAATGTATTGAAATGGCGGAAGATGTCGTCACTTGGATTCAAGGAAGGGTTATGGCGATTGGAACGAGGTCTGGAGGAGTCGTGGCAACAGGAGCGAGGTCTGGGAGGATGGAAACGGAAGGCATCATTTTCACCTCGCTGGCGGGGACCTTGGTAGAAGGTCCAGTTTGGATCGCCAGGACGCTGATGGTCACCACGGGGTGTTTCGCAGGAAGTGGTAGCATGAGGGGTACTAGGTTCATTGTCGTTCATGTTTCTCCAACCGTCGTTTGTTCTCTGCCAATTGCTTTGATCATTGTGATTTCTCTGATGTCTTCTGTTGCATCTCCAATTATCTCCCTCTCGACGGGAACGACGAAACATGAGAGACTCTGAAAAATGAATGATATGTTGGACCAAGTCAAAGATATCTCTAGATCGTGGGTCGAGGCGACAGAGGGTGGCAAGACGATAGTGACGGGTGTGACGGCGATGACTGAATGAAGTGGGATGGCGCTGACAACAACAATGTTGAATGTAACGTTTGTACTGGGCTTTGGTCATCCGGAACGGGCGAAATTCTTGAGGCGGGGAGCCAATGAGTCGATGTTGCACTTTGGTAGGAAGGGACACGGGGATCAGAAGGGTGAACCATAGGAGCGGAGCAAGGCGTTATTGCACTGTGCCAACATATCCCCATTGTTGGGTGAAGGCATCTGAACTATGTCTGTAAGACAATCAGTCCTGACTCCTGGATAAGGTTTTGGATCATCAGTCTTCCGACAAAAAAATACGAAATTGATCTGTTGAGCGGCGGACGGACGTTAAATATAGTAATGTAGATCAAATCGTATTCTTAAAAAGAGTGTTGACATCGTCGTTTCATTGACAGGTGTTGGTGGAATGGGATCTTGATAGGTAAAAGAACAGTCGAACATGTTGGACAGTTAAGTTGGACATTGGTGATATCGAACACGGACAGAAGTACGGTTCGAGTACATACAAAGTATTGAAGGTAGATCTACTCTGTGACTAGTTCGTGAAGAACATGTGCGTATGTGCTTTATACGCCGCGACAGCTGGTGAGAGCTGACGCAGGCGGCTTCCGGAAGAGATTTTTTGTACCTGCTTGTGGAGATCATTGTTGATCAACTTCTGGCAAGAATAGCATTAGAATAAGATCTAATAGGAAGTGGTGAGACTGTTCATCCGCAGGTTGAAGCCCAGCACCACTGGCACCTGTTCCTATTGTAGGCAATCCATAGCCGACGTAGATTCGAGCTCAGTATACTCCAGAGGTAGCTAGAGGGTTGAGGCTCTCATTACAGCTACGGAGTTGATTTTCTGACAGTCGATCAACAAAGGTAATTTCTGAACATTGCAAAGTAGGAGGGACTACAGAGCAAGATGCCTGGTAGAAGAAACCAAGGCAGAGGCGGTCGAGGTGGCCGTGGAGGAAGATCTGCGCAGCAGACTGGTCGAGGGTCTCACGGCAAGAAGGCCGACAGACCGAAGCAATACCATCCTCACAATCCTGACTTCACTCACGAGCAGGTGACAATATATTTGCTTGAGGCCATCGCGCTCAAGAGCTTGGACTATGCTCAAGATATGATCTGAAGTGTGAGAAATATGGCCCATGTGGACTTTGAGGCTTTAAGAGGCACTCAAACGGTCTACAAGCCGGGAAAGAACAACTCCGAGTTCTTCAAAAGTTCGAGACAGGCTCAACTTGATAGGAACTGGGAAAACCTAAATGTCAAGATTGACAAAAGAGAAGTGATCTACACCACGAATCAATATACCGTGGCTGCGATCATCACCAAACATTTTATCACTCAAGCGATGAGAGATAAGTTAAGCAATGAAACTGATTGGTTGGACCTCAAGGAAGACCATGTGATGCTTCTGAAGCATATCAAGACGTTCATGACCATCACAGACGAGACCGAGTGGCAACACTTTGGACTCATGGAATCTCTCAAGAGATTCACAAACTGCACTCAAAAGCAAAATGAGTCTGTGAACGATTACAGAAGGCGGTTCGAAGCTCAAGCTGACCAAGTATTCGAAATCCTTGGTACAGATGTGTTGCATGTCTATGCGACCAAAACAATGGGATACCTCGATCTGGATGATCCGGAGGCCGATCCGGACGATATCAAGGCGCTCCAAGACAAGTTCAAGAAACAAATTCTGGGCACATTCAAAGCAAGTGCATTTTTCTACAACTGCGATAGGTCTCGCTTCCAAAGCATGTTGGACAAGGCGAACCAGACCTACGCCATGGAATTCAAGGAATACGAGCAAAGAAACGAATATCCGACTACGATTGATCAGGTCGCTAAAGCGCTGATCAAACATAAGCCGGACAATAGAAAGAAAGGTCCGACGACACCGAGACCTACTCCAAGCGCACCCACTGCGAGCAGCAGTGCCCCGGACGGAGTGAGCAACGCACAGGCGGCTGCTCGAACGACATCTTCACGACCGGCTTTTAGTTGCTGGTGTTGCGGAGATACTGGCCATGGAGTCACTTGTTGCCCTGAACGTTCCACAAGCCCACAAGCGGAATGGAGGGACCCAGGACGATACAGCGACGCATCCACTACTACTACTACTACAAGACGAGCGGGGAGAGCCAATCTCCAAGTCCCTTCTACTGCATCTGCAGCGCAGTCGGATGCCGCGTCTAGCGTCACTGGAACGCAATCAACTGGTCAACAACATCGAAGCAATATGCAACGAGCTGTTGTTGACAGGAGTGGACATAGCACTTCTGGTACTACGGATGTACCCGGTTCTTATGTGGTACGAGGCAGGTCTATCGCTGATGGACAATCTAATGGTAGGATTACAGGATGGAACCTTGCACAAGTACGTGTAAGACCGATTCTGAAGAAGAAAGCAGTCTCCACTGAAGACAGGGGAGAGTTGCTGATGCAGAAATGGCAAGCACAACTAGATGCTGCCAGTACTTTCAAGGACGATGACAGCATGGTCAGCGATGGAAGCTTGAACATGCAGATTTACAAGTCGACCTCGAAGATGGATTCATTGAAGCACTGTTCTCAATGGACCAAAGACAACAAGAAACCTTTCAAATCTAATGGAAGTAAGCACTGGGATATCGATCTTGGTGTACATCTTGATTCTGGATCTACGTTCAGCCTACGAATGAACGAAGATTACGCCAAACCGGGCACTGTGTCTGACCTGGATTACATGTTCAACTATGGTACGAACACTGGCCAACGTGACCTGCATCAACAGGTTGAATCAAGTATTATCGAAGGACGCACTTGCTTGCTAGATACTGAAGCGCAATGTAACCTCGATAATTTATCAGAGCTTGTGAAGCTTGGATCTCGTGTCGTTATGGACACTGACATTGAAAACTCCTTCATCGTTACGAAGGGGGAACAGAGAATGAGGTATGTGCATCAAAACGGATTGTATACTTTTGTGCCCGATGGTAGGGCAGAGAGTGATGAAGGGTCCGAATACTCTGAATGTGAATACAGAGAATGCGGAAATGGTGACTGTGACGCGATTGGTGTCGCACACACCGAATGCCATAAATGCGGTGTTATTTTCTGTGGTAGAATTTTAAAAATTAGCTATTCCGATTCCCATTATTGTGGCATACAGACGGTACGGGAGAATATCGAAGGGTTCACTGATAAACAAGTTGAGCGGGCTAATCGCACACGATCAGTGTATCATATGGCTGGTGCACCAGGAGTTCAAGCGTTTTGTATTGCAGTAAGATCTGGTCTGTTCAAGAACTGCAACGTGAATGAAGAAGATGCAATCACTGCCGAAAAAATATATGGACCTGGTTCTTCGGTCCTAAAAGGAAAGACGAAGCGTCCCACACCTGAAGGAGTGCGGGATGACTGGATAGAAATACCGAAGGAGTTATTAATGCACAATCTGAATGTTGTGCTGCACATTGATCTTGTTTTTGTTAACAATTCATTCGGACTCACGACCATTGATGGGAGTGTGAGATACCGGTGCTATATACCCTTGGCTTCACGATCCAAAACGGCATTGTATGACGCAATTGATAAATGCTTTCGAATATATAATGCACGTGATTTCACAGTGGAAAAGATTTACTGCGATGGGGAGTTCCGTCCGGTATTTGAACCCGTGAAAGACGAACTTGAAGTTCATATGAATTACGCCAGCAGAGGCGAACATGATCCGAAAGCAGAACGAAATAATCAGCATTTAAAGGCACTGTTTTGGGTTCACTTTCACCGAATGCCATTCAAGGTGATTCCAAAGAAGTTGACTGTGGCACTTATGGCACGAGTTGCTAAAATATCCAACTACTATCCGGCGAAAGGTGGGTTGTCTGCATACTACAGCCCGCATATGATCATGCATCAACGAATGGTTGATGCCTCCAACAAATTTGTCGCTGAGATTGGTGCCTATGTCCACGGATATGGTCATGACACCAAGAATAATATGGCTGCTCGAACGATCGAAGGTGTTTACATGGGAC